GCGGCGGGGCCGCTAGGGCGTTGGGGGGCCGCTAGGGCGGCTCGAAGAGGTGAGAGCCCGGAGCGCGACTCGGGCGGAGCGCGCTTCGGGCAGGAAAAAAAAAAAAGATCGATGTGGTGGGCCCTAGGCACAGTTCCCACGGGGGAACCTGCTCGATACCATGAAAAAAGTAGAACGAGAATGAATGACTATGGAATGAAAGTGATACAAATATGCAACCCTAGAAATGTGTACCCCATATGGGCTACCCCACTAAAGCCTAGACAACATTATAATTTGACAGGACTTTCATTTTTAGCCCCTCAGTATACGCTTGGATTTTTTCTCCTTCGGTCAGGTCGGTAATTCGGTTGAAGAGGTTCTCCATCTGCTGCGTGTACTGTGTTACACTGCCGAACTGTTTATGCCGATGAATCTGCTGCCGCGCCATGTAGCTGGAGTTGATTGGTTCGAAACGTTGAATTAAAGCTTCCCGAAAGTGCGTCCATGACCCCTCGCCTCGGATCTTATTGCTGTTGTAAATCCACTCGAGCGCCGGGCCTCGTAATAGTGTCGCTGCGAGCCGAATCCGTATTGCATCGTGTGTCGGGGTCATACAGCCAACGGCCTCGAAGTAAATTTCGAGAGTCGCAATGAATCGACGAACGTTAGTGTCTCTCGCATTCGGATTGAACGTCTCCGGTTGCCTCGGACGTGCCGCCTCAAGATTCACTGTAGCCGCTGCCGCTACTGCTGGGTTAAGTGTCGGTGTCGCCGCTGCTGCTGCTGCCGTCGCTGATGCGTTCGCTGCTGCGTTCGCTGCTGCTGTGGCGGCTACCGACTGGTTCGCGAGAAGCTCCTCTATTCGCTGGAGTGCCGCTCGCGTCTGGTCCAAGCCGGTGTGTAACTCCATGATTTTTCGTATGGAATTATCACCGTTTTCCTCCATTTGGCGATTTACAGGAAAATGTGCGACGAAAATAATTGAATTCTAGGCGCTGGTCATCTTACTGTGAGTCGAATCGACTGTAGAATTGACGAGCGCTGATTCTGTAGGTCGCGTGATTCTCCCTTAGTCGAAATTCGCGTCCGATCTCGGCCGTTGAGAAGAAATGAGATCTGACGCTCCAAATTCCAACTTTTTTGGGCGAAATTCCCAGGGCCGTTGAGATTCGAATCGATCCGACGGTCGAAATTCCAACTTTTCCGCCACAGGACCTGAGGAGTGTTCGAAAAACCGGTTCGAGGGGGACGTTAGAAAATAGCGCGGAACTGGTTTACGTACCCGAAATCGGCGCTTTCCGTTGTCGCCCCCGCGGTTTTAAAAGCTAGGTTTAAGCGGTCGAAAAACTTAGCTTGCAAACAGGCTCTGATTACCAAGTGTGAGGATCTAGGATCGAGCTCAGAAAAGAGAATGTGAATTGAATCGAATTGAATGATCACCTGGATACAACATGAGGCTATATATAGGCTCGACACAAGGCCCCGTAACCAGGTGTTACGCGAAGGTTCCGCGGGCCGCGTAGCGTCCCGAACGGATCCTTACCGAATTCGGTAGAAGGCAATTCGGTGGCAACCGAAAAGGCCAGAATTCGGTGCACGCAACCTAGCTCGGTGCTATAACTATAATAAAATATAGGAAAGCACCTAGCCTAGGAAATCAAGCAATTCATGCATGCATATGATTATCCTATGCTAGAAATAGCATGATAAAGTAAAGGCAAGCAAGCATAGCTGGCATAAGCTGTCGTACTCTCACATACGGAGTCGGCGGGGAACGGGAGGTGGAAGCCCGCTGGGCGCTCCATGTAGATCAGTTCACGTAGCACGCCTTGCAGGAAGGAGTTGGAGACATCCATCGAGTGGATCTCCATGTTGAGGCGAGCGGCGAGGTCGAGTACGGCGCGAATGGTAGGAGGCTTGGCAGTGGTGGAGAAGGTGTCGAAGAATTCAAAGCCATACCGCTGCGTGAAACCCTTGGCGCAATACCGGGCCTTGTAGACGGGCGGCTCTCCTGGTAGCTGTTTGACGCGAAACACCCACTTCCCCTTTACCACATTCGTAGAGGAGGGAGGGCGAGGCACATCAACGAAGGAGGAGTTGGCGATAAATGCCTCGAGCTCCTTGATGATGGGCGAGCCAGAGCAGGGCGTCGGGGCAAGCCATGGCCTCCTCATACGTGGTTGGGATGAAGATGGAGGGAGCAGAGGAAAAGGCGAAGACTGGTGTTCCAGAGAGGTCAAAGGTGATGGGGAGGAGGGAGGGGTCAGAAAGGTGGAGGTCAAGGAACTCCTCATGGGAGTCCTCGGAGAGAGAGGTGTGGAAGGCGCGGATGACCGCAGGTGCCACTTCACGCGCTGCTGCTGGTGCCGCTACTGGTGCCGCTGCTGGTGCTGGTGCGGATGCCGCTGCTGGTGCTGGTGCGGATGCCGCTGCTGGTGCCGCTGCCGATGCCGCTACTGCTGCTGCTGGTGCCGCTGCTGGTGCCAATGCCGGAGCGGATGCCAGTGCTGCCGCTGCACTTGCCGCTGCTGGTGCCGCTGCGGTGGCGGCTGCTGGAGCTGCTGCTGCTGCTGGTGGAGAGGTGGTTGAGGGGGCTGGTGCATGAGGGGCTTGATGCAAGACAGCCTGGAAGAAGTGGTGAAGGAGGGGGGAAAGAGGGGGGAGGGTAGAGGTAGAGAGGGTAACAAGGATACTGTCACGTGACCTGGTGTGAGGATACCGGGTGAGTATGGTGCGGGGAGTGGGGGAGGGAGGTGAGGGTTGGGAGGGAGGGGGAGGAGGGGCACCAGGGGAGGAGTGAGCGGGGGAGACAGGGGAAGACAGGGGGTCCGGGTCAAAGATGTCACCAGACGAGGGGGGGGCACCGTGTGACTGGGAGGGCGGAGGGGGAGGGGGTGGGAGGATGGGGGGAGGAGGGAGGAGAGGGGGAGGGGTGGTGTCAGACCAGACAAGGGGACGAGTCAGAGGTGGGAGTGGGTCAGTGGACGGAGGAGAGGAATAGTACGGGGTGGATTCGTCAAAGACGACATCTCTGCTGCGAATTAGTCGACCGGAAGGGGGGTGGAGGAAAAGATAGTCGGGGGAAGAGGGGTTATGACCAAGGAAGATGCAAGGAAGGGTACGAGGGGCAAGCTTTCCCAGGGAACGGGATCGGTCTGACGGGTGAATGAGGACATATGCCTTTGAGCCCCAGACTCGAAGAGGGGAGACATCGGGTTTGTTCTTTGTCCATAGCTCAGTGGGGGTGGTGGAGGGGAGGAGGGGGTGAGGGTAAAGGTTAGTAAGGAGGGCGGCATGAAGGAGGGCGTAGCCCCATTGAGAAGGGGGGCATGAGGCGTGGACAAGAAGACACCGAGCCGTTGTGGTGAACTCCCGAACACGGCTCTCAGCGACACCGTTCTGCTGTGGGGAGTGAGGGAGGGTGTAAGTCTAAAGAATGCCGCGGGACTGGCAATAGGAGGAGATATGGTTATTAAGGAACTCACCACCACCATCAGAGTGAAGGCGGCGAACAGGGCGCCCAAAGCGGGTGTTTGCCTGTTCAAGCCAAGCAATGATCGCAGTCGGGGCGTCCGCCTTCGTCCGAAGGAGAGAGACGGACGAGTACCGACTGTGATCATCGACGAGCACGAGAAGGTAGCGATGGCCTTGGCGAGTGGGGGAGGGGTTAGGACCCCAGAGGTCCATGTGAACAAGATCAAGTGGCTGGGCAGCAGCGGAGGGGGAGCTCCGGTGCGGCTGCTGTTTGAGCTTGCTCTGAACACAGACGACGCAAGGGGGGGCAGGTGACTTTGGGAGGGGAGGGAGGGAGGAGGGGAGACGGGTGGGTTAGTGGGAGGGAGGGGAGGGGGGGGGAGGCAACTTGGAAGGTGAGGGGGCGAGGAACCCGAATGGTGTACACACGGGAGCGAGGACAGTAGGGAATGCGGGAGAGGAAGCGACCTGTGGAGGTTTGGTAAAGGTCACAATGGTTAGCACCACCTGGGGTGACAGTGGTGATCATGGATTGTTGGAGGGACCTTTGGGAGAGGAGGTTGGTGCGAAGGGAGGGAATGTGAAGACCTGTGACAGTACCTGAGGGAAAGAGAGGACAGGGAAGGGTGGAGGTGTTGTGACAGGGGATGGAAAAGCTGCTATTAGCGCCGAGGAGGGACGTGGGTGTGGGGAGAGGATGGAGTTTGCCGGCATCGCGAAAGACATTGTCAGTGGCTCCACTGTCCAAGACGAACTCAAGGGTGGAGGAGGGTGAGGCGGAGTACAGAATTGAAGTTTCATTAATAGCAGGGGCATACATAGGGGATGCAACAGAAGGAGGCTGACTAAGCAGACCAACAAAGCCAGAGGAGGGAAAGGGGGTCACACTGCCACCTGTAGACGGCGCAGGGGATGGACCGGAGAGGTGGGCTGCGGAGGCCGCATTCCCGGCGGTCCAGCTGGGAAACGGCTGCTGCTGGGGGACAGGAGGAGGAGGGAGGAGAGGAAGCTGGGGCTGGAGGTCAAGCTGCTGCTGGAGCTGCTGAAGCTGCTGCTGGAGCTGATGAAGCTGCTGCCCGTACTGCTGCGGCCCCTGCTGCTTGACACTCTGGTGCTGCTGCTGCTGGTGGTGGTGGTGGTGGTGAGAGGGGAGAGCAAAGGCCTGGTGGGCCTGGGAGGAGGAGGAAGGGGCGTAAAGGGGAGAGGTGCGGACATCCAGGGGAGTGGGGCGGGGGTTGAGGGCGGACCAGCGAGGAGGGGTGCCAGAGTTCCCACGCGCAAACCACTCATCACTAAGTGCCTTGAAGCACGTCTCAGTCGCATGAGTGGTTTGGTTGCAGCGTTGGCCCCGGGTGGGGCCATAGAGGGGAAGATACTGACAGGGTGGGAAGGCCGCTGCTGCACCACGACCCGCACCACCACGACCGCCAGAGCCGCCTCGACCACCACCACGCCCACCTCCACGCCCCCCCCCACGCCCGCCTTTGCTGCTGCGCTGCTGTGCCGCTGCGGCGGTGGAGGAGGAGTGGCGAAGGATTTCAGCTTCAGTGGTGATAATCCATTGGGCAACCTGAGCGGGAGTGTCATGCTTGGAGAGGAGCTGCATGTATGCTAGCTTGTGGGCATCAAAGGCAGGGGTGAGACCCTCGAGGAGGTGGCAGCAGATGACGGTGTCAGGGTAGGTAACACCAAGTGCTGCAAGGCGGCGAGCAAGGTCAAGGACGCGGCGAGTGAAGGCGGCTGCGCCGGCGGTGGAATCCATGGTGATGGATCCGAATTCCTTGATGAGGGCATAGAGGGTGGCGATGTCCTGCCTGTCAAAGAGGTCGACAAGCAGTTGCCACAGGTGGGAGGAGGAGGAGGGTGAAAGCTCTCGCTTGAGGGAGGAGGGGATAGTGGCGAGGAGGATGGCGAGAGCTCGACGATCAGCAATGCGCCACGCAGCGATGTCGGTGGTGTAGGTGGCGAGGCGTGTGGTATACGTGGTGAGGCGGGCTTGGTATTCGCGGTGGCGGGCAGCAGCTTCGTCATAGGTGCGCTTGTCGTCCTCATAGCGTAGTTGACGGCGAAGGTGGTCGTTGAGTGTGGTGCGGTAGGCACGGATGGCAGCTTCCACGCTTTGTGGGTTGTGGACATCCGGCGCGAAGGAGGATCACCAGGAGGCTCGGGCTCAGGTCCGGGCTCGTCGGGAGCAGGTCCGCTGGGGGCGAAAGGGGCGATGGGCTGGAGTCCACCCTCCTCCTGGAACACGACGGAACGAAGGGTATATCCACTGACAACAACTGAGGAGAGCAACACCTCGACGGAGTGGGCATAAGAGTGCCAGTTGGCGGCCGAGTTGTCGCCCAACAACTCGAGAGAGTCAATGGTCGCCAAGTCGACCGATGAGTCCGCCGACGCCATGATGACGAAGCAGTGAAGGTGCCGCTGCTGGTGCCGTTGACGGTGCCGCTGCTGGTGCCGTTGAAGGTGCCGCTGCTGGTGCCGTTGAAGGTGCCGCTGCTGGTGCCGTTGACGATGCCGCTGCTGGTGCCGTTGAAGGTGCCGCTGCTGGTGCTGTTGACGGTGCCGCTGCTGGTGCCGTTGAAGGTGCCGCTGCTGGTGCCGTTGACGGTGCCGCTGCTGGTGCCGTTGAAGGTGCCGCTGCTGGTGCCGTTGAAGGTGCCGCTGCTGGTGCCGTTGACGGTGCCGCTGCTGGTGCCGTTGAAGGTGCCGCTGCTGGTGCTGTTGACGGTGCCGCTGCTGGTGCCGTTGAAGGTGGAGTAGGGGGAGGGAGGTTGGCGCGGAAGTGTAGGGCAGGGCGCGGGTGAAGGAGGAGGTCGTGGTGATCGCGGGCAGCCGTCCGCGAGGGCGCGCAGGTCAGCCGCGACTCCGCGCTGGCCATCCGCGTCGACGCGCAGGTCGGTCGCGGCTCCGCGCTGGCCGTCCGCGTCGGCGCGCGGGTCGTCCGCGGCCGCGCACTGGCCGTCCGCCTCGGCGCGCGGGTCGTCGGCGGTTGCGTGCTGGCCGTCCACGTCAGCGCGCGGGTCGTTGGCGGTCGCGCGCTGGCCGTCCGCGTCGACGCGCGGGTCGTCGGCGGTCGTGCGCTGGCCGTCCGCGTCGGCGCGTAGGTCGTCAGCGACCGCGCACTGTCCGTCCGTGGCGGCGCGCAGGTCGTCCGCGTCGCCGCGCTGGTCGTCCGCGTCGCCGCGCTGGTCATCCGCGTCGGCGCGCAGGTCGGTCGTGTCGGCGGGCAGGTTGAGGCGTGGCGGCGGGAGGGAGGGTTGCTGCCACGTGGGAGCGGTTTGAGGCCGCGTAAGGACGGTTTGAGACCGTGAGAGGGAGGATTGAGGCCGCGGGAGGGAGGATTGAGGCCGCGGGAGGGAGGATTGAGGCCGCGGAGGAGTAGATCTAGGCCGCGGAAGGCTAGATCTGAGGTGCGGGAGGGCGGAACTGAGCCGCGGGAGGCTAGATCTAAGGTGCGGGTGGACCGATGTAGGTCATAGTCCGCTAGGGTAAAGGAGCGGAGAGGAAATTACAGCCTAAGGGTCGAGGGAAGGTGGCGTGAGCCATTTGGCTCTGATACCATGTTAGAATTCAAGAATATTTTAGTAATGAGCCAAGGAGGCTCTATAGTACAAGCATGCAAGGAAGAGAGGAGTGGAGGAGGAGCTACCCCTATTGGCCACTAAGTTGGCCAATGGGTGAGGTGCCTTGTGGAGTAGAAAACCCCACAATGTAGCTAGGTTGTGATTGGTTGGTGTTAGGTCCAAAAGTTGGCAAGTGCCAACCAAGGACCAAGACCAAATCCAATCTTGACCAACCACAAAGTGTGGTTGGAGTGTACACCCAACCCCCCAAGAACATAAGAGACTACACCTATTCTAGCCTATGAATGTTGTATATAATGTACATTTACAACACCTTTCCCTCCCCCTTTCCCTCCCCCTTTCCCTCCCCAACTCTCTGCGCTGGCAGCAAGATAGCGGTGGGCCTCGGAGGACCTGCCGTGTTCATACGACGACTGTGGAAACCTCCCCCCCCTCTCTCCCCCTCCTCTCCCTCCCCCACCTCTCCCTTCCCCCCCTCCTCCCCCGTCCTCTCCCTGCCCCCACCTGGCGTGCACAGCAAGATAGCGGTGGGTGTGTTCGGGGAGGCCCCGGAGGACCTGCCGTGTTCGTACGACGACTATGGCAACCTCGTGCCCAACGTGCTGCTGCAGCTGCAGGCGCTGCTCATCCACAAGGGCGGGCTGCAGGTGAGAGCAGGGAGAGAGGTGGGGATGCGAGTCTGCGGTGGTGGGAGTGGGTGAGGGAGGCGAGTGAGGGTTGCCGCAGGTGGGGGTTGATGGGTGCGGGGTTTGATGGGTGCGGGGGTTGATGGGTGCGGGGGTTGATGGGTGCGGGGTTTGATGGGTGCGGGGTTTGATGGGTGCGGGGTTTGATGGGTGCGGGGTTTGATGGGTGTTGGGGTTGATGGGTGTGGGGGTTGATGGGTTTGGGGGTTGATGGGTGCGGGGGTTGATGGGTTTGGGGGTTGATGGGTGCGGGGTTTGATGGGTGTGGGGGTTGATGGGTTTGGGGGTTGATGGGTGTGGGGGTTGATGGGTGTGGGGGTTGATGGGTGTGGGGGTTGATGGGTGTGGGGGTTGATGGGTGTGGGGGTTGATGGGTGTGGGGGTTGATGGGTGAGCGGTTGATACTGACGTGGAGGGTATGTTTAGGGTGTGAGTGGACGCGGGCAGGGAGGAGGCAGCCAAGGCAACAGTAGAAGGGCCGATGCTTCGCACGCCCACTCCCATTCTCCCCACCTTTGACTCTCCATGTTTTCTACATCCCTCTTGGCAAACCACCCCCACTCCCCCCTCGCCGCGCCCATCAGATGGATGGCATATTCAGGGTGGGAGTGGAGGCGGTCAGAGAGGAGGCAGTTAAGGCAGCAGAGAGGGGGGTCCATCCATGCTTCCCCTCTTCACACCCCCTCTTCCCCGCCCTGTGTCGCTCCATCGTTTCTACGTCCCTCGTGGCAATCCACCCCACTTCGCTTTCAGACGGAGGGCATATTCAAGGTGGGAGTGGACGCGGGCAGGGAGGAGGCAGCCAAGGCAGCTGTGAATGCGGGGCAGATCCCGCCCTCCACTGATGTGCACTGCCTTGCAGCGCTTATCAAGGTGAGGGGAGGCTCTTATCAAGGTGAGCGGCAGCGCTTATCAAGGTGGCATGGCATGTGTGGTGTGCAGTTACAGCAGCATGTGTGTCGCATAGTGGCAGTGAGTGAGAGCAGCAGCAGTCAGGGCGTGGCAGGTGCTATGCTGCCGCATTCACATCCACCACCACCACCACCACCACCACCACCACCACCACCACCACCACCACCACCACCACCACCACCACCACCACCACCACCACCACCACCACCACCACCACCACCACCACCACCACCACCACCACCACCACCACCACCACCACCACCACCACCACCACCACCACCACCACCACCACCACCACCACCACCACCACCACGCACTGCCTGCCCGCCTGCCTGCCTGCCTGCATGCCTGCGCACCCGCCCGCCCCCCGCGTGCGTGCGTGCGTGCCTGCCTGCCCGCCGGCGCTGGTCACATCAACACAGGGCCGTCTGCTACCTCTGTGCTGGTGTTACTTTTGAGAGATCTCAAATGCAACACCGAGAATTCTCAAAAGTAGTCACATCAACACATGGCCGTCTGCTGCCTCTGTGGGGAAAGACGAGCTCGGTGTGAGACGCTTTTGAAAGAAGGAATTGGATTCTTGAAGGAAAAAGAGAGTACAAGCTGAATAGAGAGAGCCGGTCAGAAGGCCCGTCGCGACAGGAGAGGGTGGCACTGGAGAGGGTGGCACTGGAGAGGGTGGCACTGGAGAGGGTGGCACTGGAGAGGGTGGCACTGGAGAGGGTGGCACTGGAGAGAGAGGTGCTGAAAGGGCTCATTTCATCGCCCTCCTCTTCCTTTTGAGTCATTGAGTGCTTGCAGGGCAATCCAGGCTGTCTTCATCGCCCTCCTCCTCCTCCACCTCTTCTCCTCTTCTCTCTTCCCCACCTCCTGTCCTCCCTCCTTTCCCCACCTCCCCTCCCCCTTCCGCCCTCCACTCTCCAGGCCTGGTTCCGGGAGCTCCCAGACGGTCTCTTGGACGCGCTGCCGCTCTCGCTGCTTGCCTCGGCAGCGGACCCGCACAGCGAGGAGGGCGGCATGGCGGACGTGCTGGGAGTGCTGCCGCCCGCCTGCAGCTGCCTGCTGGACTGGCTGCTCAATCTGCTCGTGGATGTGGTGGAGTGCCACCACCGCAACCACATGGGCGCCAGGGCGCTCGCCCTCGTGTTCGCACCAAACCTCGTACAGGTAGGTGTGTGCCTGCTCTGCCTGCCCTGCATGTGGCTGCCTGCTGGACTGGCTGCTCAATCTGCTCGTGGACGTGGTGGAGTGCCACCACCGCAACCACATGGGCGCCCGGGCACTGGCGCTGGTGTTTGCGCCCAACCTCGTGCAGGTGGGTGCGCCCAACCTCGTGCAGGTGGGTGGGTGTGAGCCCGCTCTGCCGGCCCTGCTTGCTGCTCCCTTCTTGCTCTTTCCCGCGCGAATTTACTGTTTCTTTCCCGCTTGTTTACTGTTTCTCTGTCTCCCCCTCCCTGCCGTTTCCCCTCCGCACCCCCTCCCCATCCCCTCCCCACCCTGTCTACCCCCTCCCCATCCCCTCCCCACCCTGTCTACCCCCTCCCCATCCCCTCCCCACCCTGTCTACCCCCTCCCCATCCCCTCCCCACCCTGTCTACCCCCTCCCCTTTCCCCTCCCCTCCCCACCTCCTCCCCACCAGGTGGGTGACCCCTCTGCCAGTCTCAAGCGCGCCATGCTCCTAATGGGCCTCCTCGAGGCGCTCATCGCGCGCAAGCACCGCCACCCTCGCCCCTTCCCTCTCCTTCTCCCTTGCCCCCCCGGTTTTCTCCCTGCCCTTCCCCCCCCCACATCAGGTTGGCGACCCAGCTGCCAGTCTCAAGCGCGCCATGCTGCTAATGGACCTTCTAGAAGCCCTCATCGCGCGCAAGCACCGCCACCGCCAGCTCTTCGCGCACCACTGGCCGGGCGGGGGCGGCCGCGGGGGCGCGTCAGTGCTGTCAGCATCAGCGTCAGTTATGGACGAATCAGAGGACTGGGAGGACACGGACCTCGATTCCTCGCTCAACTTCTCGCTGCTCTCAGGGGCGCATGGGGGTGTGGGGGGGTTGGGGGCGTTTGGAGGCGCAGCGGGAGCGGAGAGGCTGTTTGGGGCGGGTTTGGTTCGGAGCGGTGCAGGTGGTGGTGGTAGTGGTGGTGGTGGTGGTGCGTCGTTTGGGTCGGCGTCGGTTGTCCATAGCCCGCGCACTGCGCTGATGCTCAGAGCGCTGGCAGCGGCTGGGCTTGGTGTGGGGGGGAGGGCAGTGGGGGCCGGTGCGGGGGGAGGGAGAGTGAGGAATCAGAGTGGGGAGTGGGAGAGTGAGAGTGTGGGAGTGCGGTCGGGGTATTCGTCACCGTCCCCTGCAACGTGGAGGGCCGGGTTTGCTCTGAGGGCAGGGCGGTCGTGGGTTGTGGGCAGCGATGGGGGGGAAGGGCTGGGGTCAATATCTGAGCTGTGCCCCCTAGAGGATGGGGAGGAGGATGGTGAGGGCGATGGGGAGAGGGATGGGGAGGGTGGGCGGATGGAAGGAGGGTTGGAGAGTGAGGGTGTAGAGGGAAGAGAGTGGCTGGGTGGGACGAGAAAGAGTGGGGATGGGATGGGGAGGAATGGGGGGAGAGCGGGTGGAGGGGTGGAGGGAGTGGAGGGACTGGCAGGGGCGGCAGGGGAGGGGCGTGGTGGGGATGGGCGGGGGGATGGACATAGAGGAGAGGCGGGCAGTCGCTTGGCAGAGTGGCTGAGGAATATTGATGAGGCCGTGGGGGAGGGGGAAGGGGAAGAGGCAGTGGGGGAGGGGGAAGAGGGTGGAGCGGAGGGGGAGGGGGGAGGGGAAGAACCGGAGGGGGAAGGGGAAGGGGACGACAAGGAGGGGGAGGGGGAAGGGGACGATGAAGCGGAGGGGAAAGGGGAAGGGGAAGTAACAGTTGAGGTAGAAGTAGACGAAGGAGAAGCAGGGGAGGAGGACGAGGACTTGGAAACTGCAGGGACAGGCATGGATGAGCGTGAGTGTGTGGAGGAGGAAGAGGCAGAGGCAGCAGCAGAAGCAGCAGTGTCACCAACACTCGCTTGTGACTTGCCGCTTGCAACAGAAGCTGTGTTGCCCCTGCCACAGGGGGCAGATGCATGTAGTTATGATGATAGTGATGGCGATGGTGATGGTGACACTGATTGTGGGGATGGGGCTGTGGATGAGGATGGGGATGGTGATGAGGATGGCGATGGAGGCAGTGGTTGCTGTGATGACGTGAATGATGCAGAAGCTGATGATCACGCCACTGCGTTGCCTCCAGATGGCCTTGCCAACACTGACAGCATCGCCGCTGCTGTTGACGATTTAAATTCCGAAGCAGAGTTTGATGCCGAGGTTGATGGTGATGGTGATGGTGATGGTGATGGTGGTGATGGTTGCGAGAACGTACATGATGCTGATGCTCACAGTCACGGCACTCATCCTGCCAGTGCCGCCACCGCTGCTTCTCACGAGGCCTCGATGCAAAAGCAGGTTTCGGTTTCCGACTCCCCTTCGGACGCTCCTCACCAGCTCTCTTCTTCCCAACCTCCATTTCCTCCCTCCACTCTTCCACCTGCCACCCCGGCTGCCTCGCTCCTGCCTGCCACGGACCTCTCTGCTCCACCCGCTACTGCAGACACCACGCAGAGTGCTGCTGCACCTGCCGCTGCCTCTTCTCCCCTCTTTGCCAGCATGCTCCTCGTACTCGCTGCCATGCACACTGCCCGTCCCCTGCACCCCGCCCCACCAGCCTTAACACCTCTTGTCCCCACTCCCGCCGCTTCTGCTGCCGCTGCCGCAGACCCTGCAGCGCCATCCCAAGGCCCCATGGACCGTACTTTTGAGCTCTCTCTGCCCCACCCCCTCTGCGCGCCCCCCCCTCCCGCTCCGGCTGTACTAGAGCCAGGCCGGGTTCTTGTGCCTCCTGCCAGACGCAGCAGAGCACCTGCTGCTGCGAGCACTGCTGCTGTCGCCGCTGCTGCTGTCGCCCCTGCTGCTGCCGGTGCTGCTGCCACCGCTGTTGCTGGTGGTGCTGCTGCTGGCGCTGCTGCTGACACTGCAGTTGATGCTGCTGGCAGTGCGGGGCAAGAGGAGGGGAGTGGGCGGGGAAAGAGAGGCTTGACGAAGATGGGTGCAGGGCGAGGGAAGGGCACAGCAGCAGCAGGCAGGGCGGGAGCAAAGGGCGCTCTAGAGGGAGTGAGCGAGGGGAAGAAGGTGGGTGGAGAGGGATTGACGAAGGCAAAGGGCAGAGGGAGAGGCAGTGGAGGGGTGGCAGGTGCCGGGACGAAGAGGAGGACGAGTAGTGCTAGCAAGGCAGAGGGGTCAGGGGCGGAGGGGGATGTTGGGGTGGTGGAGGAGCAAGAGGCGGAGGATAGGGCCTGCCTGGTCGAACTGCTGGCAGATGAGGGGCGGAGACACGGTGAGCAAGAGGCAACGGTTAAGGATGGAGCAACAGCAGCAGCAGAAGCAGACAAGGTAGTGGCTGCAGTAGGCAAGAGGACAGCAGCTGGCAAGGCAGCAACAGGCAAAGCAGCGGCAGCAGGCAAGGTAGCGGCAGCAGGCAAGGCAGCAGCAGCAGGAAAGGCAGGCAAGAAGGTGGTGAGCAAGGGGAAGGGCAAGGCTGCCAAGGTTGCTGACAGGGCGAGAGCGGAGGCGGAGGCAAGGCGGGGCTCAGAGGGGATGAGGGCAGGCGAGGGTGAGAGCAGCAGCGCAGTGGTGGCAGCGGGTGGGGGCACGGGGGTAGTGGCAGGTGGTGGTGGGGCGAGCAAGGGAGGGAAGGTGAAGAAGAGTGCAAGGAAGGCAGTGGCGGAGATAGAAGAGATAGAGGAGATCGAGGTGGTGGTGGAGGAGGGACGGGTGAAGAAACACGGGCAACCCAAGCGTGCCACCGCCGCCACCGCTGCTGCTGCGGGTGCTGCTGCTCCCAAGCCTCGCAAGCGTCATGAGGCAGCAGCAGGAGCAGTTAGTAGCGGTGGTGATGGCACTGGCAGCACTGTTGCCCGCAGGGAGGTGGCATCTGGGCAGGCCGTGTCTGAGAGGAGCGGCAGGGAGGCAGCGGGGGGAAAGGGGAAGGGGAGGGTTGGCGAGACGGGGGCGAGTGGCAACGGTGGTGGCGGCACAGGCAGCGCCGTGAGGCTGTCTGGTGGAGGGGTGGAGGGACGAGCAGCGAGGGGTGGTGGGTCAGCGAGGGGTGGTGGGGGCGCAAGAGCAGCAGGGAGGGAGGCGGCAATGAGGGAGGCGTTGGGAAGGGAGTTGGCGTGGATGCAGCGAGTGAGGGAGATGCAGGGCGGGGAGTGGGGCGAGCGCTGGCAGCGGTGGCTGCAGGAGAGCGAGGAGAGTAGGAGCGAGGGGGGGAGCAGGAGGGGGGGTGTGAGGGAGGGCGTGCATGTGTTTGGGGAGGGGACTGCGGTGCGGGAGAGGATTAGTGAGTGGGAGCGGGCTCTTGCACTTGCCCGCGCTGCTGTTGACGCGGAGGGGAGGGTAGTGGGGGAGGCGGGAGGCGGAGGAGAAGCAGGAGTGGGGGAGGGAGGTAGGGGAGACGTGGGGAGTGGTGGGAGGCGGGGTGGGAGTGGACATGGGAAGCGGCACGAGGTTGGGGAGGAGAAAGGCGGGGGTGAGAAGGGTGGGGATGGGAGGGGTCGGGGTGAGAAGGGTGGGGATGAGAGGGGAGGGGGTGAGAAGGGGGGGCAGCAGGGGGAGCAAGAGGAGAGCAGTGATTTGTGGCGGTGGAGGAGGGCGTTGGCAGGGCGTGTGGGGGGAGGAGGAGGAGGGGGAGGGGGAGGGGCGGACCGGTTTCAGCCGGCGTGTGTGCTGCCGCCACTCTCCTCTGCCCACCGCTCCCACGGTGCCGCTGCCGCTGCTGCCGGCGGGGCACGTTTTGCACCCCATGCTCATGCTCGTGCCTCCCTTGCACACGCACCACCCGACTTCGAGCTTCTAGAAGAAGCAGCAAGGGGTGGGGATGTGCGGCGGCGCTCTGAAAGCACGCCCGGTGGAGGTGATGCACGGATGGTAGAGCAGGCAGGGGAGCACGGCTCTAAGGTGCATCGCCAGGAGCAGAGCAGTAGTGCAGCACCTGACAGTTTGCTCTCTGCCCACCCCCCACCTGGCCATCCACCTGGCCGTTCACCTGAGAATCAGTGTGTGCCGCCCAGTTTGCCGGCTTCAGGTGGTGGAAAGGCAAAGGGGAAGAAAGGGGCGAAGGGAATGGGCAAAGAGAAGGCGGGTTTGGCATTGCAGCAAGGGGTTGGGGATGGAGCCGAGGCGAGTGGAGCAGTGGCGGGGAGTGGGGGCAAGGGAGAGAAGGGGAGGAAGGGGAGAAAGAAGGCGGCAGCAGTGGTGGCGGAGATGAGGAGGAGGAAGGGCGGATGGGGGCCACAGGAAGAGGGGGAGGGAGACTTGGAGGGTGTGGAGAAAGCAGCGGGTTGTGAGGTAGCAGCAGGTGGGGCGGCGGTGGTGGGTGTGGCGGGCAGGAGTGCAGCAGGAGAGGCGCAGGTGAAGGTGAGGCTACAGGCAACCGCTGGGCAACCGAGTGAGAGGGATGAGCAGGAGGGGGAGCAGAGCGAGCAGAGGGAGCAGTTGCAATGCGAGGCTCCAGAGGTGGCTGGGCAGAGGAGCATGGTTGGTGTAGGTGACAGGGATGGCGGCATTGGTGAGGCTAATAACAAAGGCAGGCGGTCAGGGGAGGGCTATGGAGATGGTACAACTGGTGCTGTGGTGGTGAGCCAACAGAGCCAACGGGGGGCCAGCAGAGCCAGCAGCCGCAGCAGCAAGAGCAGGAGCAGCAGCAGCAGCGGCGCCAGCACCCCTGCCCCCACCACTCGCCTCCTCCCGCTCCCGGCACCCAACCCTCTTCATCCCGCCCGTCCCTCCGCCCCCAAGCCCTCTCTGCTCATGCCCGGCCCCTCCTGCATCGCCCCTTCCGCCCGGCCTCACTCCTCTGCTGCCGCTGCTTCCTCTCCTCGCCTGCACAACTCGCCCGCCTCCTCGTCCCTCCCCTCTCCCTCCCTCCCCTCCCCCTCCGCCTCCCACTCCACTCGCCGCCGCCTCTCCTTTCAACTGCCCACCGCTGCCGCTGGGCCCCCACGTTCCTCCATCCCCTCCCTTTCCTCCTCCCTTCTGCACTCCTCCATTTCTTCCCAGTCATCCCACACCCTCACTCCCTCTCACTCTCACACTCCCTCTACCTCCTCACTCATATCCTTCGCCTCTCCTCTCCCCTCCTCCACTCTCTCTCACCCCTCTTCTAGCCCCTCTGCTGACGCCTCTCTCTCCCACCTCCCTCCCCGTCCTTCCTCGCACCGCCCTCCCCCCATCCTCCCCCCTTCCCGCCGCCACCCCTCCACCCTCCTCAACAATCTCACCCCTTCCTCCTCCCACTCCTCCCCCCAGCCAACCTCCTCGTCCCTCTCCTCCCCCCACCTGCCCTCCTCCGTTTTCTCCCCCCACTCGCCCACCACTTCAGACTGCCCTGCCTCTCAGCTCGTCCCCCCACCCTCTCAGCACCCCCCGCCCTCTCAGCACCCCCCGCCCTCTCAAAGCGTCCCCCCACCATCTCTACCTCCCCGCAAGCACCCCTTCGCCCTCAGCGGCAGCAGCAGGGCGCTGGTGAGAGTGCCGTCTCCAGCCAAGGAGGCTTGCGAAGCGAGTCAACAGCAGCAGCAGCACACCCCAGTCACCAGCAGCAGTGCCCTTGTTGCACCTTTCCCTAACCCCGCCCTTCCTGCAGCAGCCTCGCCTACCAGAGAAACACCTGTCCCCTGCCCTTCCTCCCACGCAGCAGCTCCCTCTGCTGCCATGAAGCCACCTTCACCAGGTAGAGCCTCCCCTTTGGGTTCTCCTGCCAGGCACTCCGTGCAAGTCAATAGGCTCAGCCAGATGCCACCTTCACCAGATAGCCCCTCTCAACACAGAGCACCCCCTCGAGCTGCATTTGGCTCCCCTGCTTCTGCCGCTCCCCCTCATTCGCCCTCCTGTCATCGCACCGTTCTGCACTCCCCGAGACCGCACTCCCCCTTGGCCGTACCTGCCTCCCCTCCTCGTGCTCACCTGCATTTGCCTCTGCCCGCCTCAACCTCCCTGCCGCCTGCACCCGCCTCACCTGCACCGGCCTCACCTGGTGCTACGAGCCATGCTGCATTGCCGGCCATGCAGGGCGCTGCTACCCTGCCTGCTAGCAGACAGGGAGAGGGCGCTTCGGAGGCGACTGCAATTCCTCTCCACATGCCCCTGTCTCAGGGATATTCCCACCGCTCCCCACCTCCTCACGCTTTTGCCGGGGAAATGTTGATGGCCAATGGAGGCTCGTCGCGGGTTTCATCGTTCCGTGACCGCGTTACATCTCCAAGAGGCGTTTCATCTCACAGTGGCGTTGCATCTCCTCAAAGTTCCCGTGCACTGAACGAGGGTAGGGGGTCATTTCCACCAAGATACCTCTCATGCCCTCATAGCCGCGTTTCACCTCCTGATGCATCCGTTTCAACTTTGGATGCACCCATTTCACCTCCAAACTATAACAGATTATCTTGTCCCAGTCCTGTGTTGGGCTCTCAAAGAAGCATCCCCATCACGGCACACTCTAACACCTCACTCGCTAACCTCCATACTAGTGCATCCGCACATAGTCACAAGCAGCTCAGTGGCTCTTCTTCCCGCGCCTCCCCCCATCCATTGTCTTCTTCCCGCGCCTCCCCCCATCCATTGTCTTCTTCCCTCGCCTCCCCCCATCCATTGTCTTCTTCCCTCGCCTCCCCCCATCCATTGTCTTCTTCCCTCGCCTCCCCCCATCCATTGTCTTCTTCCCTCGCCTCCCCCCATCCATTGTCTTCTTCCCTCGCCTTCCCCCATCCATTGTCTTCTTCCCTCGCCTCCCCCCATCCATTGTCTTCTTCCTCTCGTCCAAAATGCCACTCCCCACCACCTGCCAACCCTCCACCTCCCTCCCACCTGCGTCGAGCACTATCAGTGTCCTCCCCAAGCCATCCCTCTCTCCCACTGCCCTCCTCCTCCCCCCTGCATCCTTCCAACTCGAGTCTTGCTTCTCCAAGACAGCCCCCTGCCTCATCCCCAAACCCCCCCTCGCGCCCCTCCCTTCAGAAACAGCACTCCTTCCCTCCCTCCTCCACTGCCCACGCACGCCCGTCCGCGCCTCTCCCTCCTCCCCTTCCTGCAGAGCCCTGTCCTCGCCCCCGAAGCTTCCACCGTTCCGACTGCCTTACCACCCTCTCCTCCTCTCCTCGCCTCGCACCCTCTCTTTCTCGAGCCTCTCGCTCCTCCACGTCCTCTCGCTCCTCTGCCTCTCATGCTTCCTCCTCTCATGCTTCCTCCTCTCATGCTTCCTCCTCCCATGCTTCCTCCCCTCACGCTTCCTCCCCCCATGCGTCCTCCCCTCATGCTTCCTCCCCCCATGCTTCCTCCCCTCGTGCTTCCTCCTCGCGTGCTTCTTACTCTCATGCTTCCTCCCCTCGCGCTTCCTCCTCTCATGCTTCATCCCCTCATGCTTCCTCCTCTCATGCTTCCTCCTCTCATGCTTCCTCCTCTCATGCTTCCTCCTCTCATGCTTCCTCCTCTCATCCTTCCTCAGATCATCCTTCCTCCTCCCCTTCCTCACCTCCCTCTCGCACATCCACCTCTCTCTCCTCCCTGCCCTCCCTCCCATCCTTTAATTCCAATAGCACACAACCGATGCAACCACCACAGCAGCCGCATCAACCACCACAGCGGCAGCAGCAGCAGCAGCAGCATGAGAATGGGGTAATTGGTGGGCGGGGCCCAGTGGTTCAGACGGGGGGAGAGGGAGAAGGAGAAGCAAGGAGTGAGGTGGAGAGGGGGTTGTCGCGACGCAGAGGTTCAAGCAGCAGCAGTGAGACTGAGAGGTGTCGTAAGGAAGGGCGAGGGAAGGGGGCAGGGAAGAGCAGCTGCGCAGAGAGCGCCGGTGGGGGAAGCTTTGGTGCGGTAGGAGGTGGTTCGGTAGGAGGTGGTTCGGTAGGAGATGGAAGAGACACGGGAGGGGCCAGAGTCAAAAGGAGGTGGCTGGATGAGGAGGAGAGCAGCAGCAGCTGCAGCAGTCGAAACGCGGTGATCAAGGGGGGAAGGAGAGGGGTGCGCGGAATTGAGGTGGGGGAGAAGGCAAGGCACAGGAGAGGCAACGCCAGGACAGAGGGGGATGAGGAGGAGCAGATGGGTAGAGGCAAGCCATGGCGCCGAGCTGCTGGCAGGGTGAGGGCTGATGAGGCTGGGGACGGAGGAGAGGGGCAGATTACAGCTGTGGAAGAGACGGAGACACATGGCTATGGGGCGAATGATGGGGTGGAAGAAAATGGAAGAGGGAATGGAGGGGGAGCAGGGAAGCGAGAGAACCAGGGGAGTGATGGGAAAGGGGTGAATAGGGGGAATGGAGGGGATGGTTGGTGTGCGACTTCCAGCGGTAGGAGGCACTTGCAGGACGTGGAGAGCGCACAGCAGATCACAGGCGTTGAGCAGAATGCTTGTGAAGCCTCTGATGCACGGATCACAAGTGACACATTTATGACTGATGTGGATGGAATGGAGGGTGCGGGGATGAAAGGCGGTGAGAGGAGAGGCAGTGGGAGGAGAAGCGGTGCAGGTGAAGTGGAGAGTGGGGAGATACAGCATTGGCATGCCAGTAGTGCAGGGCATGGTAGTGCAGGGCATCGCAGTGCAGGGCATGGCAGTGCAGGGCATGGCAGTGCAGGGCATCGCAGTGCAGGGCATGGCAGTGCAGGGCATGGCAGTGCAGGGCATGGCAGTGCAGGGCATGGCAGTGCAGGGCATGGTAGTGCAGGGCATGGCAGTGCAGGGAGCATGGTGAGGCATGAAGGCGGAGAGAAGGGAGGCACATGGAGCCATGCAATAAGTGCATCGCAGAGAGCCTCCCAGCCCGAAGGTGCGGCCTGCCAGCCACAGGATGGGTGTGCCTCGACTTACTGCAACTCTGTTGACTTGTTCGACTCGCCTCACTCCTCTGGCCCGTCTGAACCAACTGACTCCCAGACAGTACCCCCAGTGGCTGGGTGGCCTCTGGGCCTTGCCTCGCACCCACCAAGGCACCCAGAGCGGAGGTAACAGGGGAATCTCTAACAATTAGCACATGATTCATACGACAGACAGCACGTGATGTGGGGTGGTACAGTGGTACTATGAGACCACATCAGCGAAGGCATGGGATTACCGTCTCCCCCCGGATATAAGCGCATGCCTATGATAAGCACCGGCGGTTATATTACGGTCCTCGATTACTATAAGCGCACCCCTTAAAAAGGTGTTCAAAAACCTGTCAGAAGTTCAACCTAGCAGGGTTACGAAGTATAATTTCAGTTTCCCTCACTCTCATCTCACTTGTTGGGTGTCTAGTCAGCATGTGCTTGTTGAGTGCAATACATGGTTTGCACGACAACCTACCGCCTACTTGTCGACGTTGAGTGAAAGTGAGGTGTTTGTTCTGAAGGTAATTTGTTGTGTGCGAGTTGTTTTTTTTTTTTTTTTTTTTTTTTTTTTGTGATTTGCGTTTCTGTGACTACTCGCGAATCGCCTCAACGGTTCATGAGTTATGTGAGTTTTCGTGAAAGGTTGCGTTCCTGAGTGTTCGTGAATGTCCGTGTGTGAATGCAAGACTTCGTGTGCATTTGCGTTGCTTCGCGAGTTCTCATAAGTGTGCGTCAATTCTGTGTTCGTGAATTTCTGTGTTCGTGACTGTGTTCGTGAAATTCTGTGAAGTTTGTGCGTTGTTCATGAATGTTTGTGAGCGTTCATGTGAGTTTTCGTTTTTCTGTTTTCGTGTGTGTTCATGAAGTATCGTGGGTGTTCACGAGGGGTCAATGTTGACCCTTAGGGCGTGTTCCTACGGCCCCTTATCAGGCGAACCTCTTGTCAGACTTGCGTCGCAACGCACTGGAACACATGTAATAACATTCGATCGCACTGAAACGCATGGAACCGCACAAGTATGACAAGAGGTCGGCTGATAAGGGGCCGTAGGAACACGCCCTTAGATATTTCTCGCGATGGTCAAGGTCAACCGCGCGAGGAAATCGGGACCCGCGTGTGGGGTCCTGATCGTGCGTGTGGGCCCTTAGGCCCGCGCGTGTGCCTCTGTCAAATGTTGTAGCCTGTAGTGAGGTTTGTCTTAGGGGGTACAGAAGTTAGGGTTTGTTATATGTACCCCAACCAACATCAATGGCATCATCATTTCTCATTTTGACATGGTATCAGCTAGGTTAGGATCCTGTGGGATCCCGTTCCTCCGTTCTCCGTTCGTCCCTCCCGAGCCTGATCCTACCTCTCGTTCGTACCGGTTCCGTTGTTACCGCGCCTAGTACCGAGCCTAGCGCCCTCTCCCCCGTCGCTTAGCGCCCTTTCTCCCCGTCGCCTAGCGCCCTTTCCCCCCCCCCCCCGTCGTGTCGCGCCCTTTCCCCCCGTCGCCTAGCGCTCTTTCCCCCCGTCGCGTCGCGCCCGTTCCCCCCGTCACGTCGTGCCCGCCCTTTCCCCCCCGTCCCGTCGCCCTGTCCCGTCGCGTCGCCCTGCCCCGTCCCGTCGCCCTGCCCCGTCGCGTCGCCCTGCCCCGTCCCGTCACCCTGCCCCGTCGCGTCGCCCTGCCCCGTCGCGTCGCCCTGCCCCGTCCCGTCACCCTGCCCCATCGCGCCGCCCTGCCCCGTCGCGTCGCCCTGTCCCGTCCCTACGCCCTGGCCCGTCGCCCTACCCTACGCCCTGGCCCGTCGCCCTACCCTACGCCCTGGCCCGTCGCCCTACCCTACGCCCTGGCCCGTCGCCCTACCCTACGCCCTGGCCCGTCGCCCTACCCTACGCCCTGGCCCGTCGCCCTACCCTACGCCCTGGCCCGTCGCCCTACCCTACGCCCTGGCCCGTCGCCCTACCCTACGCCCTAGCCCGTCGCCCTACCCTACGCCCTGGCCCGTCGCCCTAGCCCGCTCTTCCGCTGCGACTGAGTCCCCTTCCCACCTGAACCCTAATTTGCCTCTTCTCCCCGGTTGTTACTCGCCTGTTCGTTCGCGTTAGTTCTCACTATGGCGACTCCGCGAGTTCTTCGTTTCGACGCTGACGGTAGACCACTTGACTTTTCCGTCTGGCTTCTTCGCGCTCGCCGTCTGTTAGAGAGTCAGGTCTTGGGGGGCGAGACCCTCTGGTCGCACGCTACTGGTGACCTCCCCGAGCCCCCCGAGCCTACAGCTTTAGGCTCTGCCCCTGACGACGCTGCTACGGCTCGCTTTGCCCGTCAGCGCGCTGACCGGACGGCTTGGACGTCGCGTGACGCTGCGGCCTGCATCGCACTCAGCAGCCTCCTCCCTGAGTCAGAGGAGGTCCACTTTACTCAGGTTCGCACCGCTGCTGCGTACCTCACTGCGATTAAGGCCCGCTACTCTACTCCCGCTACTGTCTCTCTTGGCCGTCTTTTCCTCCCGTTCCTGTTTCCTGATCTCGCCTCGTTTGAGCGCTCTGCTGACTTGATCGCTCACCTCCGCTCGCTCGACGCTAGTTACCGCGCTGCTTGCACTGAGGCACAGCTTGCACTGCTTCCTCCCCCCATGGCGATTACTGTCTATTTCATCGCCACTAGCCTCCCTGACCGCCTAGCCTCCGTTCGTGACGCGCTTCTGCTGAAGCACCCTAGTGAGCTGACTATCGAGGTCCTTGAGTCTGCACTAAAGGACGTCGAGAGCAACCTTCGCTCGGTAGCTGCCGCCTCTGGTACTGTGTCCCCCCCACTCTTCCACGGGTGCACAGTCCCGCAGTTACCCACCTTCACTGCCTCTCTCGCCACCGCCGCTACTGACGCGACTGCGGCTGCTGTTACGACTGCGTCGCAGTCCCGCGGCAAGGGGGGCAAGAAAGGTAGTTCTGGTGGAGGTGGAGGTGGAGGTAGCGGAGGTAGTGGGGTGCTGTTGCGACTGGCGGTGGTGGGAGTGCAGCGTCTGGAGAGACCCCTCGTGCAGCGGCTGGTGACTCCACTTCGCCTGCTGGTGGCGGCGACCCCCGAGCTCGTCAGTCGCCTCCTGTACTGCCGACCCCGCTAGGTGGAGCAGCGGCGTGGTACCAGGCTCAGCGTCAGCAGCACCTTCAGCAGCAGCAGCAGCCCCTTTCCTCCCGCCAGCCTCAGCAGCAGCAGCGTCAGCAGTTGGCTCCGGGGTCGGGGCTGCGTCAGCCCCAGCGCGGTGCTTCTTACCCTCCCTGCACCTATCAGGTTCTGACAGGTCCTCGTCGGGGCCACCCTTGTGGCCGCTTTCACCCCCCTGGTCACTGCTTTGCTCAGCTCACTGACACGGTCCGGTTGGCCTACGGGGTTGGCGGTCCTGCTCTTGACTGGCTTCCTCTGGTTCAGCGCTACGGCTCCGCTCTGTGGGGCATGTCTGCTGAGCAGTTAGTTGATCTGATTGGTGCTCCTCATGCTATGTATGCTGTTGTTGACTCTAGTGTTTCTGACTCTGTTTGCTCTGGTGTTGTTAGCTTAGGTGCTAGTCTTGCTCAGTTGCCTGTTGCTAGTGTAGGTTCTTGTGTAGACTCTAGACCAGCGACTACCTCAGAGGACGCTTCGCTGTCGTTCACGCTGGACTCTGGAGCCTCACACTGCTTCTTCCGGGACAGCACGACACTTACACCACTTACTGCGCCTGTTTCTGTGGCTTTGGCTGATCCCACTACGGGACCAGTCACTGCACGTCACACTACCACTTTACCGTGTCCTGCTGCTCCCTCCGGGTCTCTCACTGGGTTTCACGTCCCCTCGTTCTCCCGGAACTTGGTGGGCGTGCGACCCCTCGTGAGTCAGCACGTGGGTGTGTGGTTTGAGCCTTCTGGAGAGACTGCGGTGTGTGTTGACGGAGACTCTTACCAGCCTCTTGCTACCTTTACTGCTGAGCCGGGCTCAGGTCTCTACACTCTTCACACTGGCCCGCGTGCGCCGCAGCAGCAGCCGCAGCAGCAGCAGCAGCCGCAGCCGCAGCAGCAGCAGCAGCAGCAGCAGCAGCTGCACCAGCGGTCGCACCAGCAGCCGCCCCTACTGCCACTGCCCCCGTTTCCCCCCCCCGTTCGGGTCCCCGCGTCTCACCAGGTTGCTTCGTCCCCCCAGGTGTCTGTGTCGTGTCAGGTTCCTACGTCTGCTCCAGTCGCTGCGTCGTGCTCCTGCCGGTCGCTTGCCCACCCCACCGTTCTGTGGCACCACCGGATGGGGCACCCGTCCCTTCCTCGTCTGCGCGCTATGTCTAGTCAGCGTCTTGTCCTAGGCCTCCCACGTGTCTTGCCGTCGCTGCCGCCTTCGCTTGCGCCGCCGTGTGGTCCCTGCGTCGAGGGTCGGCTGCGCGCCGCCCCTCACTCCTCCTCCCTTCGTCCGGCCACCGAGCCTTTTGAGACGCTTCACTTGGACGTCTGGGGCCCCGCCCCTCGTCTAGGCCCTGAGCGTGAGCGCTACTTTCTGGTGGTCGTTGACGACTTCTCCCGCTACACCACAGTGTTCCCTCTGGCGAAGAAGTCTGAGGTGACTTCTACGCTGATCAGGTGGTTGCTCACCACCGAGGACACTCGTGGTCGTCGTGTCAGCTGCCTCCACTCCGACCGTGGGGGTGAGTTTCGCTCCGGCATTCTCGCTGGATTCTGTCGCGAGCAAGGCATTCGTCAGTCCTGGACGCTTCCAGAGTCCCCACAGCAGAATGGGGTTGCTGAGCGCCGCATAGGCCTGGTCATGGAGATCGCCCGCACCTCCCTGACTCACGCCTGTGCCCCCCATTTTCTGTGGCCCTACGCGGTCAGGTACGCCGCGCACCAGCTGAACCTCTGGCCACGTGTCTCTCGACCAGAGGTTTCACCGACCAGTCTTTGGACAGGGTCCCCTGGTGTTGCGTCGCGGTTTCG